AGAACTTGAGTTAGCTTCATCGTCAAGTCTTGTAATTTGGAGTGCTATTATTACAAGTCAAGATCATTGTACCTTGGGAGACGAGTGCCTGAATGTCGTCGCACCAGTGCGAGGCATTATCGTCTTAAGGAGAAAGAGTCAAACTCTCGCTTCGACCATTAACATTTTAATTCGTTTATTTTTGCAAATCGTTAGTTTGCCCAAATCAATTCACGGTAATATCATTATTTGCCAACATAAATAACCAGAATTTGGTAGATAATGAGCTCCAGATCCAATTTTATATTCTCCATTTTCTGTATCTCTCGTGACTTTAATTACAAGCTCATTATCGTTTTCAGTTTACCGATTTCTTGGAAAATAATTGGAATAATTGTTCAGAATATCATATTAACAAAATTAATTTTCTTTCGATAGATTCTGTAAAAATCCGAATGGACCATTTGTGCCAAAAATTAAAAAAGGGTTGTGACCATTTACGCCACATTTAAAAAGTTTGTACAGAAAAAGTAAATTGAGCAAAGATTTAAAACCCATTTGGCGAAAATAATCACCTTCGTGCCTACAAAATAAGTAAAATAAAACATAAGAAAATAACTGGATTGACTTCTTCAACTAACTGACAATGACAATAAGAATAAAATTTATTATATTAAAACCTGTCTACAAAACCAACGACTTCTCTAACAATCAACTACTTCCAAACATGGTATTATATTATATAATCGAAAAATCATAATTTAATTCTAGAGACAAGGCAGGCAAACAAGAATCTCATCATGTTATGTAAGACAGTTGGGAAACTATAAACAGAATCATTCAGTTGATTCTAACCTACTTATAAGTTAATACAACACTTATAATCTGTCTTCATAACTTATTTACATACACATGGGTTATGATTCTATATACCCAAAATTCACGATATGATAACAATCTTGAAACGTACACAGTTTTTATAAATGATAACCACGAGAACACGTCGTTTTCCTGATCTTAAGTTAATCATCTCATAAAAGTTATTTTCGATAGCTAGTATCGACAGTAAAGTTACGTGTAGCAGCACCAGAATTAATGTGAGAAAATTCGATCTTTAAAACCCTAAATTGTGAATTGTTGATAATTGTGACTGTGAAACTGTACGAAATTGATTTGGTCGTCAGCACTCACCAGTTACTTTAAACTTCCTATCCAATAATTAATTAGTAAAAATTAATAACAATCTATTTATTAATTAGTATTACTATAACAGGCAACAGAATTTGAGCACATGCTCACACATTGGTCGTCTCTCAGCAGTTTTTATTCAATTATTGAAAACGTTGTTCTCTTCGCAAAAGTTTCACCTTCCCGAGGTTCAAGAATCAACGGAGTAGGGTGCATGCATTGCATGTAATATAGTATTGCTATACATTGTATTTAGACATGCTATAAATTAATTTATACTAAATCGAGACAATTTAGAAGAAAAATGTAGAGTTTAAAATGTAGTATGCAATGATTTATTACAACTATAATGCGAAAACACAAACTCATAAAGCTTAGAAAATCGAATTAATCAACTCAAAACTTCTTCAACACCACCAACACAGTGTCCTACGATGTTGAACTCAGATTTGTGTCATACCGAATCATGCATCGTCGTTCACGAAAATGATAATGGATATATCCCGATAATAGAATCTACCGGAGGCCTCCAAGAATTTCACATGAGATATAGATCTCTCCCACTTAGCTACCTCTCTGTCTTTTCTCTTTTCGTTTTGCCAAGTCCAAGCAAAAAAAGTGAATACACATAGACCCTGTTTGTCATCCATTTTATCAAACATTGTTTTCTACAGTAAACAATCTCCACCACATATTCAA